CCCAGAATTCTATGAAAGAGGCGGACCAACGCCGAAGACAGAGTCAACGGACGGTAGCACCCCACCTCCTTCGGATCCCCACCTTTATGAAGGAGTACGGTGCGGTTTTTAGTGAGTACCGCAGGAAATAATCCATGTCTCAGCATAACATTGAAGATGATAGCGAGCAAGAAAAACACAATTGTTAACACTGGTCATTCGAGAATCTGCTGACTGTTACATTCTCCATAGTGGGTAGCGACATAATTCGTGGCATTTTTTGGTATCTGGCCAAAAAGTATAAAATAGAAAAAAATGTATAGGAATATCTGCTCACTTACCTTGAGATGGTAAATCGTGGAAAAAATCTAAACCCTAAATTTCTCTACTTGTTAAGTATGTATTAAAGAAATAACTAAAAATGTTCAGTGCACAATCAAAATGCAAATGAACGAGAACTTGCGTTTAATAGAAAAAAGACCCAAAAAATGACCTGCTTCGTGCCTGGCTAATTTTCTTAGGGGGACTGTTTTGTGTGGCTTCACGGGTTGTTCGTGGAACCCAGTGGAATTCGGTAGCAATTTGAATCGCATCAGATAGTAGGCATTTGGTAAACCATATTACATCACATCAAGGTTACATAAAATCTAAGTCACAAAAATTACATAACATTTATATAATGTTACGAGTTTGGTTTGCTGGGACGCACTTGTTGATTGGTTTGGTTTGTTTTTGTTAGCTTCTTATCACAACCTGTGCGGGGTTATGGGGCTCCTAAAGTAGAGCGATCCTTCCTCGTTGTTTATTAAGAAGTAATGACTGTGTTCGTTTTATTTAGTTTGTTTGGTGATTTAATAACTTGTGATTTACTATCAAAAGTTATACTTTAATTGGTACATGTAACAATAACGTATAAAACGATACTACTAACAAAACGTCAAAACAACCTGGTTAATGATAATTTTGCAATTTTATGGGAAACATTTTATTGCTTGATCGAAATCCTGAGTTTCTCGATTTTATGTTGTTTTTGGCAAATGTATGAAATGTTGTCTTATCTTGTACTTTGCGGCATCGATTCCTGGATGCTTTTATTTATTTTTTTTTTAATATTTACTGTCTTATAGGATAAATCCGTTAATTTATTTAAACGTTAGAATTTCAGATATGGACTTTCACACGTTTTCCAAATTACGGCAGCACAAAATGGACATTTATTTATATTCAAAATGCATATAATATAATTTATCTTATTTAACAAACTACCTAATACATTTAATAATATCGTCTTTAACATTATGTTCCGAATTTTGTGAAGAATTTTTTCTAATATTTTTGAATAAAAAACTTTCGGTTTAGCGAGTGAATAGAAAACGTACTGAATTATAATTTGATTTGAACTGCGAAATCTTATAGAATTTTTTGATCAAACCTTAATACTTTTTAACTGTGTTCGAAAAATAGATGATGGAATGGACACATTGGATTGTCAATCACCAACACTGTTGGGAAATGAGTAAATAAGATCTATTTGTCTCTCCTGGCAACCACATAAGTTAGTCTAGGGGGCGATGTGACAATTAGTTTTCTATTTTAAGTTATATTTGTTTCTAGTAACTAAGGTAATTGAAAAGAAAACAAACAAGACGGGTGTGTGTAGAAATAACGTTCTGAGCAATATACATATTAATTTTGCCGACAATCGGGTTTTAATTCGTCGGTTGGGTGCATTCATATACTTAAGTCGGTGTTGGGAGTGCCATCTCAGATAGGGACGCGCACGAAGAAGAAAATAATACAAAAATACAGTCCAATTAAACATTCACCGACAAACACTGTTTACCAGCTAAACTTTCTACGAAAAGAAGCAAAATTAAATCTTAAAAATATATTGAAGTGAATTGACTAATGATTATATTATAAATACAGATATGTTTTTAACGTGTATTATATTTTAGCGACTTCATTCCTCTGCGATCGCTGTCAGAAACCAATGATAAAATCTTCATATACCACATAAAAAATCCTGATCCAGCCAAATATCATTTCATTAACGCCCTAAAGGCGTTTTTTATTTTGGCTGATGTTAGAATGGCAATTGAAAAAGAAATTCCTGATGGAGAAATACCTATATTTGATATGACCAACTTCACGTTGAAACACCTGACTAAAATCAATTTACCTGTTCTGAAGAAATATATGATGTACACCCAAGTAAGTTAAATACCTGACTTGATTTTTCGTATAACGTGAAGGTTTCCATTTTAGGAAGCTCATCCCATCAAACTGAAACAAATTCATTTGCTGAATATTCCTCCTTTCCTTGACCGATGTATGCAGATTGTAAAACCATTTATGAAAAGTGAAGTGGGAAAATTGGTAAGCTGTAATTCTCAATTGTGAACTATTGGTAGTGTATTCCGGAAGTCTCTTTTTATCAGGTACATACTCACCTACCAAATTCGAACAGTCTTTTTGATTACGTATCAAAAGATGCTTTGCCCAAGGAATATGGGGGCTTTGCCGGAGATATTGAAGATTTGAAAGAGTGGTGGATTAAAAAAATAATGGAACATCGGGACTACATTAATGATGAATCTAGATGGACTGTGGATGAGACGAAAAGATCTGCTGGCAATAGTAATTTAGCTAAAAATGTGTTTGGCATGGAAGGAAGTTTTAGGTCGCTGTCAATCGACTAGAACAGGGATGAGCAACACGCGGCCCTTTAAACAAGTTTATGCGGCCCGCCAAGCATTTCTAAAATTGAATTTATTTCATCGACTCATTATAATAATAATAATAATAATATTGCTTTATTTCAAATCATGGGCAAACACAAAATGAAATGACGTCAAAAGGGGCACACAGTTTCACATATCGGGACAAAACTGTCTTAAACTATATGGTTCCAAACCTATTACCAGATTTTTAGTTTCCATTTTGAACGATTTTTGGGAGGAAATACCTTTACCTGGCTGGGAGACAATTAAACAATTTTATACACATATACTGAGGACACCTTTCCGTGAGCGATAGCCTATGTGCCATACAACCGATATCCAATGCTGCTCTGGTGCTATCCTCGTGTTTTTGCCTAATGTCAAAAAGGTTCTTCTTTCTAAAGAAGAACATTAGACATTCGTATATATAGACACCATAAACCGTCATTATCTTAAAGTTCTTAAAGACCGATCTACAACTTTGCAAGTAACTCATTTACTTTATAATCCTAAGTATTCTTTTCTGAATGACAAAAATACGCTGGATCATACAGTCTTTCCCCCAAAATATATTACCATATTTAAGGACCGATATTTAAGGACCATAAGTTATAACTTCAGAGTTCGTCCGTTCTTCTAACGTTTTCATCATTGCGGTCATATTAGCGGCATTGTCCGTTACAAAAGATCGCACTTGACACTGAAATTTTGTTTGACACGAGGAAATGATGTATGAGGAAGGTATGTCGAAGTATGAGGCTTTCCAGAAGGATCAATGGTTTCATAGAGAAGCGCTCGTCCATCTTCCGTTGTTAATGTTGCGCATATAACCGGCTCGTTGTGAATGTTTGACCATCTGTCAATCGACATGTTAACACTTTTTCCCGAAAGAGATGAAAAACATGCCTCTTTTTCTTTAGTATCAATCTCATCCAAAAGGCTCGATGCGACCGTTTTTCGAGAAGGGCTGTATCCAGGTCTCAATAGATGAATGGCTTTCTTGACTTGACTATTTGTTTGTCAATAAGATGTTTTTCCCCTGCTGAAGTTCGCTTAACGAAAATGGACATTGAGGGTTGGCTTTCACGTTTATTTCTCTTGGAAGCCGACTCGGTAGTTGTTTGCGTGTAAGATGATGGAGCTTCTGGAGGTGAGTTGGAGCTTGCCGAGGGAAATGTAAAGGAGGAAGAAGCACTCCCAATCTCAAAAAAGTTGTTCGGAAGATCGATGTTTGCATTTGTTGTTGTGCCTTGTTTGTTTTGTTGCCTCTTACAAAATTACTCTTACAGTCTTTGTACTATGCCTTGAATCTCTTTCTTACACTGTTTGCAAGTTGCTCTGCATCCTGACTTATTAGAAGAGGTGGTTTTGATGTAAAACTGCCAAATACTGTCTTCTTTTCTTCCAGCCATTGCGTTCTTTTCAAACTGACTTATTATTATTACACAACCACAAAAAATTTACACCCTTTTCAACATTAGCCTCTCTTGAAATTTTGGGACGAAATGAATAAGACCGAAGAAAGGCGACGGCATTTATGGATTACGCCGGGCAACGTGCGAAAACGAGTCGCGGGCCGTTGCGAAAACGAGTCGCGGGCCGTTGCGACAACAATTGCAATGGCTCGAAAACAGCCAATTAAGCGGATTTATTAATTGATTTAATAAAAATAAAAAATCTTAATTTTTTGATTAATTTAAATAAATCAGTGATTTTTAAATTTTTTTATAAAAATCAATTTTTGCCCAACACTGTTTCACTGAACCATGGTTTATGAGTCTCAGATACAACCAATAAGTTTATGTGTTTGCTGACGTTCCCCACCTCTTAAAATTGACCAGAAACAATTTTTTAGATTATGGATTTATAATTGATGATTGTAATATAGATAAAACTACAATTCTTAAAGTACTAGAGCTGACATCTGAGTCAGATTTGAAGATAACTCATCAAATAAATCCACAATTATTAAAGGTGGAGGGGCCTCAAAGGCAAAACGTTAAGGTTGCAGCTAATATTTTTTTCCATGCATGTCCCAGTCTATTAATAGATGTGGAACAATAGCTATTTTTAACCCTGGCCGGGAGCTCAAACAGAGTAAAACTCACTTGGGCAACTGGTACGAACAGGAACAAAGAAAACCAGATTGCTGCGGAACGTGCTAAGGCAGGGACCGAGAAACCACTGACCAACCAAGAACCTGCTTGTGGTATATCTCATGCCCAAGTTAGAGTGGCAGTTGGGCAGTGGATCTTGGAACAACACAGACAGTACTGGGAGGAGACACCGCGACTCCATACCGCAAAGCAGTTGGTGGGACCTCGACAACCCGTACGTAAAAATGAACTGCTAGGTCCCAGCAGGCAAAAAACAAGGAGGATAGTGGCCTTTTTAACAGGACACGCCCCCTGCAAAAAACACATCTTCGGGATGAGACCGAGCGATCAACCGACCTGCAGGGGTTGCAAATTAGAGCAGAAAACTACTCTGCATGTTATGTGTCACTGCACGTCATTTGCAACAGGTAGTCAAAGACGCCTGGGAGGGGGTGAAATTCCACCAGACCATATCATGCGAATTCCCTTCAAGATTCTTCTGGAATTCATTGAATATACAGGAATAATGAGGGAATAAAGTTACGAGGGCACTAGGACAGAAATGACCGCGGTGCAAGGCCAAACACCACCTCTGCGGTGAGGAAAATGTTTTAGTGGGTAAACAGCTTAGCTGGAGTCCCACAGAACCCAGAGCGACAGAGCACTAGCTCTGGGAGTGCATAAAAGAGCATTTCCCAAACCTCACCGAAAAAAAAAGGACTGATTCAAAACTCGCAAAGTCTAATGTCCTAAGTGAGTTTTCGTTCATGTACTTACTAACAACCCTAATGTCATAACAAATGGAGTTTAGTTTTTTACTTAAATTATTTATATGGACTGACCAACCAAGATGTTCATTTATGTGAATGCCTAAAAATTTAGCATTTTCCATTATCTTTACTTCCTTCTTACCTTCTAACGGCCCTATTACTTTATTCTGTCTGGTTCGAAACAGCAGTTCATTCGTTTTATCTTTATTTAGAATAATTTTATTTGATACGAACCAGTCTGTAACTAAATTAAAGAATTCCACGGCCCTTAAAGTTAGGTCTTGCAGATTTTTACAACCAATGATTAAATTTGTGTCGTCAAGCTGTCGTTCATGCTGGCAAGAAGTATTCATTAAAAGCTGTAGATCATTTACAAACAGTATAAAAAGAAGCGGACTCAAAATACTTCCTTGGGCTATTCCTATGCTATTTGACAACATCTTTGATCTCCCATCTTTCCCCTTTTTTGTAACCATTACAACCTGCTTTCTATCCTCTAAATATGATGTAAGCCAGAGTTTTACATTTCCTCTTATATCATATTTATTCGCTTTTTCTAAGAGCAGTTCCCTATCTAGACACTCATAGGCTTTAGACAAATCGAGGAGCATTCCTAGTGCTACTTCTCCACTTTCCAGGTGCATTAGGATATGTTTCACAAACTCAAAGATAGCGGTTTGAGTTGATTTTCCATTTAAAAAACCGTGTTAACAATTACTAAATATGTTACATTGATTTAGAAAATTTACTAATCTGGTACTCATTGTCACCTCAAATTTTTTCGAGAAGCCTGGTAGTAAACTTATTGGCCTATAATTGTCCAGGACTTTATTATGTAAGGGTTTGATTAAAGCAATTTTCAAATTTTCAGGAAATATCCCAAATCGAAAAGAATTATTTATGATATAGCACAGAATGTTTTGCAGTTCTCTAGCTGCTATCTTAATTATGCTTGTCGGAATTTCATCAATTCCACTACTGTTTTTGTATTTAACTTTTCCGCAATTTCACAAACTTCCCTGGGTGTTAGAGGGCTTAGGAACATGGAGCTTACATTATCACTAATATTACAATTCAAATATATTGCTATAAAATTATTATTAGATAAGTTCTATATTGTTGAG